CTGGTACTACTCCAACACCTCTACCTGTACACCAGATAGCATTCCTTAATGTAAACTTCACTCCCTAAAATTATCTGTGAGTAACTGGTTCCTCAGGCTGGACCTACTTCTTACAAATTCTGGCAATCGGTTACGGTATGAGGAGAATTGGCTTTTCTAGAGGTGTTAGCAAAAAAGGTACTTGCTGGAGAGGAGAAAAAATTACCCTCCCCCCAAACACTATTTTTCATATCTTAGTTTTGGAGGAATAGTTTATTAGTTAGTCACTAATGTGATGTTCTTGCCAGCAGGTATTTTAAATCAAATTCAGTTTATTCATTGTGGAAAAGAGAAAGAGGAAGGGGGGGGAGTGTCTTAGTGAATTTAGAAGTACAGTTGTTCTTAAAATGCTTGATTGCCCTTACCAATAAACAAGAGTAGTCTCTTAATGAAAAAAAAAAAGCAATACATGAAACTTTCATTAGTGGGTCACTTGATATATAAATGTGTTAAGATGTAAAAATAATACTGATAATAGTTCCTATTGGCTTGAAAATAGCTTCCTGGTTGAACAGGTGTCTGAGATCTTTGGGGGAAAATAGTGGGAAGCTTATGTATTCAGCTTCCTGTTCCATAGCTGTCAAAAATTACTGACTCATAAGCAGCCAGTTGTTCTTTTTTAGTTCCCAAGATTTTGAAGTCTCTAAATTTTTCATTAGATGTTTATTTTGCAGCTTTTGAGATATATAAAATATAGAGCACCAGTTTAAAAAAAAACATACATTGTTTACATATTATGCTGTGGTTGTTATGCTTATGGGATTGAAGAGTTCTGTTCCAGAATCCTGTATGAAAAGAAAGGAGGGACAAAAAATGCCAAGAATGTAGAGAAAAGGTAAGAAAGTAGGGAGGAAGCCCTATGACTTCTTGGTTCTCTTTTGTTGAAACCAAGAGAGCTAAAGGTTAAGGTAGCCATGATCCTGAGTATAGTATATTTGAAAGCCTAGTTCAATGATGGCGAACCTTTTAGAGACCGAGTGCCCAAACTGCAACCCCAAACCCACTTATGTATCGTCGGGTGCAGGGGGCATGGCCCATTGGGTGGGCGGTGACTGCGGTGATAATAGCAGCCTGGTGGGACTAAAAAGTTCAATCAATCAATTCCAACTTTGCGAGAAGTTGAAATTGATTGATTGATTGAAACTTCTTTTTTTTTTTGCACATGGCGTCGGAGGCCTAAAGCGAAAAGGTTTTTTAAAATCCAGCTGAAGGCCTAGGACTGGGGCGATGGCGCACGTGCCCACAGAGAGGGCTCTGCGTGCCACCTTTGGTATGCGTGCCATAGGTTCGCCACCATGGGCCTAGTTCATTTTTTTGTCCTTTTTCCAAGCACAGAATCCTTTATGATAACAGAACAGAATCCTGAGTTGGTTTCATAACAATAGGAGAGCAACAAAGAGAAATGCAAGGCTACTCCAAGATCTTTCTATTTGTTTTTCTAGCCATAGTTTCAGAAAGGTTTTTCATAACAGTTTAAGTAGGGTTTATGTGAACTGTGGGTTTTTGGGTAAACAGGGTTGGTTAGCCCAATACATTGGTTAAGGCATGCTTTGTAAGCCAGAGCATTTACATTTACATAATATGCTAAAACAAAATCAAAACCCAGTTATGATTTAACACGATGCATATGAAAAAGACAAAAAACAGCACAGCACCTGTAAAAGTTAAATCCAGATCAATTCCCACAGGCAGGGTTTGAAATTTTTTTATATATACAGAACTGCACACAGAGCTCATAAAAAATTCATGCAACAGTTTATTTCATTTTCATTCTTCTTTTCCTTCAAAAGCATCCACTGGAAATGCACAGGGTTCCTTTTCCTATTTTATTCTTACAACCTGATGCAGCAGGTTAGACACAGAAGTGGTAACTGGCCTGTGTTCATTCAATGACTTCTACCACTCAAGAGTGTACAGAATATTTGCTGAATTTGAGTTAGCTTCATCCTGTTACAGCAGTTTGTTTTGATGGTTTTCTGAAGAAGAATCCAAAAAGGAGTTTTCTGAAATATAGAGTTTCTTTTACATTGAGGTGTGTGAAACACACATTTCTTCATGCTCTTAAAGCAATAAAGATATTTTTTTTCTGGTAAAATAGAATAGAATAGAGCTGGAAGGGACCTTGGAGGTCTTCTAGTCCAGCCCCCTGGTCAAGCAGGAGAACCTATACCATCTCAGACAAGTGAATGTCTACCTCTTCTTAAAAATCTCTAGTGATGGAGTGCCCATGTTTTCTGGGGGTAAGCTGTTCCACTGGTTGATTGTCCTCACTGTCAGGAAGTTTCTCCTTAATTCCAGGTTGCTTCTCTCTTTGATCAGTTTCCAACCATTGTTTCTCGTCCTTCCCTCTGGTGCTTTGGTGAACAACCTGGCCCCCTCTGCCTTGTGGCAGCCCCTCCGAAACTGGAATACTGCTATCATGTCTCCCCTATTTCTTCTTTTCTTTAGACTAACCAAACCCAAGTCCCATAGCTGTTCTTTATATGTTTTAGTCTCCAGACCTTTGATCATCTTTGTTGCTCTTTTCTGAATTTTTTCCAAACTCTCAACATCTTTTTTGTGATGTGGTGACCAAAACTGGCTACAGTATTCCAGGTGTGGTCTTACTAGGGCTTTATAAAGCAGTACTAATACTTTGTGTGATCTTGATTCTATGCCTCTGTTTATATAACCCAGGATTAAATTAGCTTTTTTGGTTGCTACTGCACACTGCTCGTTCATAGTCAAGTGAAATGAACTATTTCACTCTCTTTATATAATACAATAATTTCTAGATGAAAACTGAGCTTATATAAATAAGGCTTATTGAAATGTGTCTGATGTTAAATTGGAAATAGGAAAAATACTTTTTCTGTTGTGTACAATAGTTCAAAAATAAAGTTCTAAATCTTGAGGTCTCCTTGTAAACCTAGAGTTTTTTGGTCAAGATTCAAGTGCTGAATAATTTATTGTGAGTAGAAGCTGGATACTAGTCACTTTCAAATCACTGAGAACCATACAGACCACTTGAAGTTAGTGTGGGTTTTAAAACACATTAATTGATTCCTATCTGCACAGCCAATATTTTATTTCTGATATAAGAAGAATTTTACATCATAAAATTATTACAATATCCCAAAAGTAAAGGCACAGCTTTGAAATCTGAGACACTAGGAGAAATAGTAGTCTCTGGAGCCATCTGCTGGGCATGTGGTAGAATGAAAGGCAATGAATAAATTAGATATACACGCCTTACTTCTTTGCTATCCTACATAATCTTGACGGAAGTGTCTCCATTCCAGAAGGTGCCTCTGATTTATGTCTTGAAAGAGTTTCTTCTGATCATTATCATGTAAATGTGACCACAGCACTTATGTTTTTTAAATTGGAATTGAAAGGACAAAGAAAAAAGGTTGAAAAGAAAATGCAAGTCAGCACCTATGTACTTTCACACAAAAAAAATCATGCTTAGATTTAATCCTCATGCTTAAATGGAACTGGACATCTGCTACCAGTTGTAAAGTTCCATGGTAGTCGGATTTTTTATATTTTCTTACTCTAGATTCTCAGGCAGACAAGAGAACCATTATAAATATGGCGAGCTACAGATTACAGTTCTATGTTTTGCAGAAAATTTCCTGTTGACGCTCCTTGTTTTTATTTATTTTTTTTTGTACTTTAACACAATCATATGTCTGTCTAAATGAACTGGAACAATGATTTTTGTGGAAATACAGGGTTTGTATTACTTTTATTAACACTTGGCCTATAAGAACTAGTGGCAGCTTCAAACAGAATTTTTAAATGTTACAAAAGTCTGTGATGATCACATTCCAAATGCCTGTGCTATTGAAACCAAATTAAATTTCTGCTGCATTATACTGTATTATTTGGTTCATAAATGATATAAGGAATTGAATCTTGCTACACTTTTTAATATGGCTTCAAAATGGTTGTTTTTCCGTTTTTGCAATAGAGGCTAGTAGAACCATACCTCAGATGTACTAATCTTTAAAGAAAATACATACCGTAATGAGAATAAGCATTAAGGAATTAAGCCAAATCTTATTGTCTACATTTTATGCTTAAGTTTATTTATTATTGCTTGCATGGCATCTTTCTTTTTTATATAATTATTATTTGTATTAGTTTATGATATATAATACAGAAGTACAAAAGAAAATAGTAGGAAAATAGGGGAGGAAAAAGGGAAGAAAAAAGTGTGGGGGAAAGGGGTAAAAAAGAAAGAAAAGGCATTGACTTCTGACTCCCTTTGGTGCAGTAGAATAAGATAATAATATCAAACCTCAACTTTTTACTGTTATATAATAGTATAAACTAGCCAAATGACAAACCTATTAATCGGTAAAACCCAAAATCAAAGTTTCATTTTTTCCCCACCTCAAGCACAAAGTCCAGAAGTGGTTTACAAGTAGAAACAAAAGTAATTGTATTTTTTTCTTTAATTAAAGCAGTATTTATTATTGTTTGCACAACATCTTTCATAATGAAAATGCTATGAGCAAAATTATAACAAAGGGATAATTCCGACTCTCTTATTTCACAGTGAAAGAAACAGTTTGAAATGTTTTAGTGAATGTACAAAGTCAAGAAAAGTTCCTTCCATTTTGAATACTTTTCTTGCTACCCTTTTGTGCTGATATTTGCTTAAACTCTGAGATTATATTTATGGCAGAAAAACAGGAGTCTATTAAGATATTTTAACAAAATCTCTTTGTGCTAATCTCAAATCCATAAATATGCATTGCGTTTTTGATTGCTTAAATAGCTTCCTTAACAGAATGTAAAAGTGAAACAGATAGTTTCATAAATTCCATTTATAGATACTAAATTTATTTTTAAGATCAATTTGGCACTTGAATAACAATTACATTTGGCACACACAACTGTCTCAGAGCAAATCATTTAATGAGTGAGTTTGCCTTGATGCTCTTGCAATAAGAGTTTTGCTTTCTTCACAGAAGATTACACCAACAATTTGAAAGTTACAAAGAGCAAGTACGAAAAATAGGTGAAGAATCCCGTCGTTATCAAGGAGAACACAAAGATGATGCACCCACGTGTGGGATCTGTCACAAAACTAAGTTTGCTGATGGTTGTGGCCATTTATGCTCTTACTGCCGGACAAAGTTTTGTGCCAGATGCGGAGGCCGTGTTTCCCTACGATCAAACAATGTAAGTTTTCTGTTGTGTCTAATGCATCATGACTGACTAGTACAATCTACTTATGTAGGCTTCTGTTTTGTTACATGGTTTTCTTTCTGTCTCTTTTGTACCTCTCTCCTTTAACCTCTTGTGTTTCCTTTTATTTGTCTATACTCTATGTTTGTTTTTAAATTGCTCACTCAGCATTTTTTTTGGGGGGGGTATGTGTGTTTTTCCTCTTTGGTCAATTTAATTACAGATTGAGTAAAGAAGAAACACAGGAAGAGAAACAAAAATGTTCATCATATGCTGGCTCTTTCCACCTAACAATGGCAAAAGAGCTTGTCTCACTATAATATATTTTAAATTTAGATGCTTTGTGTACCTGCTTATAAACTACAAGTAATACTTTAATTGCATCATTGTGCAAGATTTTAAAACTGTTTGGCTATATTTCATCAGCTCTAGCTTTGCTCTTAATTATATTTTCTAGGGCTGTTTAACTTAACTTTGCAGAATGACTGGCTCTAGTTCAGCGATCTACATACTTACTGACACTACATCTTTTTGGTACAATTTTTGTGTAATTTATTGTTTAGCAAACAAAAGCAAAAAACCTGATCAGATATATTTAACAATATCAATCAATGCTTCATATCTGCATATTGTTCAATGTTACATGTCTCCATATTTTTAACAATATCCATCAGTGTTACATTTCAATGACATTTATTTGCATATTTTTAACAATATCAGTCAATGCTGCAAATCTGCATGTTCAATGGAAATAATTCATTTAATTTATCCAATAAATATTGAGTCATTGTTTAACATTTCAGGGGTTCAAATATCACAATATAAAGGATTTTTTTCCCAGACCTTCAAGTATAATAATAATAATAAATGCACTGAAAACCAGAATTGAGAAGACAGAACACTGCCTCATCAATGAAGCTGAAGAAACAGTAGATCACCTGGTTAGCTACTGCAAGAAGATTTCATAGACTGATTACAAGCAATAGCATAACAAAGTAGCAACAATGGTGCATTGGAATATGTAAAATCCCACATTTATTTTTTGGCAAGCAAAAATTGATAGGACTACAAAATAGAGAAGTAATTGAAAATGATGCAATGTTCTGGGATTTTAGAATTCCAACAGATAATCACCAGCCATATAACATTCCAGACTTAACCACTGTTGATAAGAAAGACAAAAAAGTCTGGATAGTGGACATCATAGTACCTGGAGAAAGCGGAATAGAAGAGGAAAACTGAAGAAAATAACAAAATACAAGGACCTGAAAATGGAAGTAGAAACACTGTGGCAAAAGAAAATAAAGTTAGTCATAGTATTAGTAATAGTAATAGGTGCCTTGAGTGCAATCCCAGAACAAGCGGAGCACTGCTTGAACCCAATTGGCATTGACAAAATCAGTCAATTGCGAAAGGCAGCTTTACTTGGAATAGTTTACACCAGACATGTCAAACACAAGGCCCAGGGGCCGCATGCGGCCCGCGAAGTGGTTTCATGTGGCCCACGAAGCCATCCTGGAAACAGGGAACGGTCCCCACTGCCTTGGCCCTGGTCCAGGCCGGCCGGGAGCCAATGTACAATTTTGTGGTGGCCATCTATGCTGAAACACATTCAGTCTAAGCTCCACAAGGGCATCTAGAAACAGCGAGGAACCAGCCCTGCCACGTCGGCCCCGGAAGTCACCCTTTGTGAGGAATGAAGAAATGGATCATGCCTTGGTGCTTGCCCCGGTCCCACCCCCCTTCTTCCAGAGACCCTCAGATCTGTCCCACTCCTGCCCAGGCCCCGACAGGCACCCTTGACGCGAACAATGTAGAGCTGGCCATGCCCACCCAGTAGGCCATATACACTCCATCCACACCCACCCAGTAGGCCGCACCCACCCTGACAACACCCACCTGGCCCCTGAGGGCAACAGCAATGCTGATGTGGCCCTCAATGAAATTGAGTTTGACACCCCTGGTTTACACCCTTCGATGATGCCTCTAACACCATCAAATATAAACATTGGGAAGGACGTGGCTAAAAATGCCAATTTCAGTCTAATCATGTGGCTGACTGTGCAGCCAATCACAGTAATAAATTCTTGGACCCCCCCAACTAGGAGGCAAAGCTCTAGTGATTAAAAAACATCCTGACTGCATTTGAGTGAATTTTTAGTCTTTTCTTTTTTCACCATTAGTGTCTCATGGAACTCCATAAAGATCTCATAGAATACCAAAGGTTCTATGGGCGGCACAATTTTGAAAACTCTGCTCTAGATCACAATCTAAAAATTATTTTGTGGATAATTATACTTTATTTTTCTGATTAAATTAAAAGTTTAGGAACTTTTATTTCTATTAAATTATTATGTGGAACAGTTTTTCACACTAATCCAATGCAGTGCGGATTACACTGAAACAAACAAGTCACGCTGGAATTATCCTTAAACTGTTTGAATGCTCCTTGTTCAACACCACTTACATAGTCACAGTAACACTTTAACCTCTGAGATTAATAGTATATCATGTAGTCTGTTTCTCAGTATACCACAATGCGCCACACACTCTGAATCATGAGGAAAGAGATTTTATGAGGTTTCTAATCATGGCGAGTTGAATTTTACACGATTATAACAGGTTGAAAATGCAGACTAGAGGGAGTAGTGCAACATTTTTACCATATGTTGTTCTTTATTATACGTGCTTGTTTTTGTTTATAATTTATCATTTGTTTTATTATATGTGCTTTCATCTGCTGACCCATTTTATTGCTAGATCAGTGGTTCTCAACCTTTCTAATGCCGCGACCCCATAATACAGTTCCCCATGTTGTGGTGACCCCCAACCACTTATACATCACTGGGTGCCAGGGGCGTGGCCAAAGAAAAGGGGAAAAAATGGCAGACAGCCTTGTCTGGCGACCCCCGTGAAATGGTCGTTCGACCCCAAATGGGGTCCCGATCCACAGGTTGAGAACCACTGTGCTAGATGGAAGTTTGCTCATTGACTATTTAAAGGTACAGTGGTTTAATAAGTACACGGGAACATGCTACCATTTCAGAAAGTTATGAATATCCATAACTATAAACTTTCCTCAGCTTCTCAGTGTTTTGTCTCCTCCTTTCACTCAGTTATGGTATGTCTGTGATATTAAGCAACTTGGTCAGAACAGGTGTGGCTCTAAGCTAATGAGATATTTTCTTTATTCGTGTCAGAAGCATCTACGAACTATAGACATGCAACATTCAATAATGAGCAAGTAAAATAGGCATAAAATAGGTTATAAAAATATAGCACGTTTAAAAGTATGTTAAATATGTAGGATTATATATTTCACCTAGTATTGGGCCACGTCAACAAGCATTTTCTTTCACCAGCTTGACGTCTTCCACAGTATATGTTGAAGGATATCTTTGTTAATACAAAAGAAGGATTTCTAGAATGTTTCCAACGACTAGAGACTGTCTGCTCCATATCGCTATCTTTCTGTGCTGATAAAAATATATGGATATGATCATACAATGGAATATTCCTAGCAGTGAACATATTAAAACTAGAGCAAATTTTTAGAAGTGAAATTAGAATGCTCTTAACTTTTTAAATCCGTGCCCGAAAAGTATTTCCAAATTACAACACCATCAAAGGGATTTATTGCAGTTGCTGACTTTGATATGCTCTTAAATAGGTTTGCAACTTGATTCTTGATCAGCCTTCTGTATCCTGATGCCCATCAGATGAATTGGCCATCTGGCTGGGATTTGTGTGCAGACTAGTTTGGAAAAATTGCTATTAATTTTACCAATTTTTCAAACAGGAAAGCAGAATTTCTACTTCAGCCACTATGAATAAAAAGTCCTACCTGGAAATCAGGATAGAATACTCAAATTGTTTCTCAGGGCTGCTGCAGAATAATTGGCAACTTACAAATGTTGCCCTTAGGGTGGAGATTAATGGACAAATTATATTAATAATAGTTCTGTGCCAAGTAAGAAATTAAGTTTAAACATCCCTACCATGCTTAGGCTGTGTTCTCTGCTGAGTCCTGATGCATTTCAAAAACAGCACAATATGCTAGGCCAGGGGTAGGCAACCTTGGCTCTTTTATGACTCGTGGATTTCAACTCCCAGAATTCCTGAGCCAGTCATGCTGGCTCAGGAATTCTGGGAGTTGAAGTCCACAAGTCATAAAAGAGCCAAGGTTGCCTACCCTTGTGCTAGGCTCTTAAATCTTGGACTGTGGTTCCAGAAACATTGTATAACCCAAAGTTAAAGTCACTTTGATGCTTGTCTGGAATAACTACCAGTTCTTCTTCCTCTATGTCAAATCCTGTTTCAGACTTTCCTGAATTTCAGTTCTAGACCTTTCCCAATTTTCAGGAATGACATTATATGCAGGGCCAGGGATTGTAATGGGAAAACTCTTAAAAATGTATTTCATATATGGCATGGCTTTTCGAATCCTTGGTGGGCTATTAAAACTGACATACTGAATCCAGATATATCAATTCTGCTTGCAGCTGTTTTCATTTCCTCAAAAAGTCTTCGAGGTATTTGTGGGGAAAACACTTTCTGTGAAAAGAAACTGTAGATATTTTCATTTAAAATATATTCCATTTTCAGCCAATTTTGCTTTTATAGAAACATTGGAATTGCTTTATTTATATATGCCTATTAATGTTTTCCTCCTCTTCCCCCCCTTTTCTTTATATATTTCTTCTTTCTCTGCTTCCCTGGATGCTTTCCCAAAGGAGGACAAAGTGGTTAGAATCTATTCTTCTTCATATATTATTATTATAATGTTACTAGATATATTTTGAAACAAGTTATTGTGAAATGCAGATTGGCCATTCAGTGAAAAAACAAAACCCAGGTTGCATGCCAATTCTAAAATCCAGCTATTTAAACAAAGAATATATTTGCAAAATTTAAAAGACAGGAGCTAAATGTCTTTTGTATTAAAACTGACAGTATTATTTATGCAGGGCAGGTTTAATTTTGGAAACAGAAAACTTAATTTTTATGATACTTTGCTGTTTTGCATGGAAAATCAATGAAATAAATTCGTACATTAATTCATAAATGCAGCGATAACTTGTTTTTGAATTGCAACTTTAGTTTTTTTAATAGTATTGATGTACATATGTGTTACATTATGAATTCAATCATATAGCATCAGATCCATTCACAGTTTCTAATGTTTTAGGCAAAGTTATGAAATAATTACCTCAGAAGCTCGGCCCCTTTTGTACATGACACACATGCAAAAAGAACTGGAGCTGATGATATTTATTTTATCATGCCCTTCTCCCATGCCTCTGTGTAGCACTTAAGTTTTGAAAATTGTTAGTCTTAAATATGAACCTTTTGGCACATTTTGTCAGAAATCCAGTTAATGGTAACTAGCAGCTATTGTTTTTGAAATTTCCTGAAATTTCTACTATCTCTAAAAATAATGTACTACGCAGTTTTTATTGTGAAAATTAATTCCACATTCCCCCTTGGGAAGATTGGAAATGATAGACAAACTATCTTTGTATCCCATTTTTTTGTTTGTTTCATCTAGGTAGGAGCCCTGACAAACTGCCAAAGGATTTCAGAAGTCTTAGCAACAGAATCTGGAAAGTAATTGTGGGCAGTAGGGGAGGAATTCATATTTTGTGGCCAGCCTGACAATTTTAGAGAGGAGGGGTCCTTGGTACTCTCTGAACTTGGTTGTTTGCTTGCAGACATTTCATTACCCAAACTAGGTAACACTGACGATATTATCAAGTTTGTGTAATGAAATGTCTACAAGAAAACAACCAAGACACAAGGACCCCTAATTTCATCCTTGACCGACTAATATATTCCATTATTGGTAGCTTTAGAGAAGGCTTAGCAATAACACAATCTTTATGAAAGAAACATAAAGAGATCCCCCCCCCAAATCCTTGACTCCATTCTCTTAGAGCAGGGGTGTCCAACCTTGGAAACTTTTTAAGACTTATGGATTTCAACTCCCAAGTATTCCCATGGCTGGCTGGGGAATTATGAGAATTGAAGTCCACATCTTAAAGTTGCCTGTCTTAGAGGTTGGAGCTGTTTGTAAATAGGGATAGTTAGATTAAGGCTTGCAAGGCTTAATACACCTATTTTGTTTACCTGCTGAAATGTGAATATAATTGTTACTTGACAATTAGCTAAAAAAAAAACACGAACAATTGAGGAGGAGGATGCTGGGACATCATCCTCTTCTCTGTGTTAAAAGATCTCAGCCAACTTTCCCTCAAATAACTATGGATGATAACTTGAAGCATTCTGTACAGGCTTGAAATTCTGGATATTGTCATTCCAATGGATGTGGAAATTAATCAATGCACTTTTTCTTTGATCAAGTTTCAATTTAGTTAATGTTATTCATGCCATGACAATTATAAGGATCAATGTTTCATGTTTCTTAACCCTATATTTTGGGCAAATATTGAAACTGAAGATTGCCTCTGCATCATGTAGATCATTTATATGTAATTCTGGATATTGGCAATGACATACATAATATATATGGATTAGTCATGTATTTAAGTTTGAAATAAGGGAAATGCTACTGTATCTATAGATTGATACTTAATAGAAAATAATTTCTACTTATCCCCTGGCAACTCATGTTTCAAGTACATTTATTTAGAAGTAGATTGACAAGCTGACAGTTTAAGAAAATAAATCATGTGCTTCATCGAAGGCAGCCATTAATGAACTTTACAGCTAAAGCCAGCTGTAAAATGCTCAGCCTGAATAAGACTGGACTGCCTGGAACAGTCAAGCTTTAATGTCCTTTGCTTCTGGAAATAAATTTTTAATATTCAAAGGCATTACCTAAGTTGGAAAAGCTTTAGGAAAATCTGTCAATACAGTACACATTGTGGTGTAGAGGGATGGAGGCTGAACACATATAAATACATGACCCTTGCTAAGAGATAGAACATTCTGTCCTATATTCAGAACTTGTCATCCACTTTGTTGCTTCACCAATTAGCCTACTCTTTCATTATAAACTATCTCATTGTTTATGCTTTTAGCTTAATTCCTTTGCTCTGTATGACCATGCATGGATTTTATGCATAAATTATATATTTGAAACACTATTTTTTTTTCTAACCCAAATACTCATTATGGGTAGTCCTGAGCTTATGACTACAATTGAGCCCACAATTTCTGTTGCTAAATGAGATAGTTGTTAAAAGTGAGTTTTGCCCCATCTTATGACTTCTTTTTGCCATGGCTGTTAAGTGAAGCGCCGTAGTTGTTAATGACAATACGATTTTTAAAATGCATCTGGCTTCCCCATGGACTTTGCTTGTCAGAAAGTTGCAAAAGGTAATCACATGACACCGGGACACTGCAACCGTCAAATACAGTCAAGTTGCCAAGCATATGAATTTTGATTACGTGACCATGAGATATTGAACAGTCGTAAGTGTGAAAAATGGTCATACGTTACTTTTTTCGGTGTCTTAACTTTGAACAGTTACTACCGTATATGCCGCCGTATTAGGCGACCCGGCGTATAAGACGACCCCCGTCTTTATAGCCGGGCCGCATTCCTAGAACGTCGTCTTATACGCCGGAAACTACCAGTATTTCCGGCGTATAAGACGACTCGGTGCATAAGACGACCCCCGTCTTTGGCGCCGATTTCAGCGCTCGCGGAAGTCGTCTTATACGCCAGCATTTACGGTAAATGAATTGTTTTAAGCCAAGGACTACCTGTATTTTCATTTATTCATGGGCCTTGGAACAGCTCCGTGGTGTACCCTGTACCTTCTTTTCTTGTTCCCACCTACCCATTCTTTTATATACAATAAAATTCTCAAACTAATCCTTAATTTTATCAAACTCACCATTCACTGAAGTGTAACTTCTCCTTAGAGTATCCTCCACCTACAACAGGATCTGTTTTTCTTTTCTCCATTGGTTCATGCCAGTTATCCATATTCTGCTCTTGCATTGCAATTTGCAATCTTCCATATGTCCTGGATGTCAATGAGTAGGTCTACTAATAGTGAACTTTACCATTCATCATAAGCGTTAGCCAAGCCTACTGTATTTCATATTGTTTTTAATAGTATAAAATGTAGACCGGTTTACCAGCCTTAATTGCACCTATACTACATGAAACATTACTTACTAGCCGTAAGAAGTGTTGATATATTTGGGCATAATTTGGTCAATATGCTATAAGCACAACCAAAACCCAATTCTGCCCCATGCTATTTTATGCAAGCTGTGATCACTAATCCAGGGAATATTTACTGTGATCTCATTCCACAAATTAAGAAGTACTTGCAGCATACTTGCAGCATATATTCAGGATACTCAAAACAAATAAGAAGTATTTTGGGTAATTTACCTAAGCCGTAGTAATACATCTGTAATTTGTGCATATTGTGGCCATTGTACTTGACCACCAAAACCTATTCAGTTTCTTCAGCCGATATGTAGTAAAAGTACCACTTGTTTCTTCTATAACTATTTCTTTTTTGATTCTTTTAGAGAAATGTATGGGGTTTGAACTGACAGCACTGCTGGCTAAAAATAATTAAGATTTTTTTTCTTTTTGACATTAAGATACCCCGATTTAAAAAAAAAACACTTCCAGAAAACAAATGATTTGTCTTGGTTATCTGAATACCCTCAGGTGCCCTCTGCCTCCCAGACACTTGATCAATGGGTGAGGGGGTGGAAAGATGTCAGATGTTCTTGCTTTGACATGATTTTTAGGACTACAAGTCAGATTTTTTCTCCCCTCTCTCTCTTTTTTTATTACACAGAATTTTAATCCTTATCCAGGATTAAGATACTATTTTAGCACTTGAGTGTCCTAGATAAAAGATACACATCCTAGTACATTTTATACATTTTTCTATTCCTGTTATGTTTTATTGGTACTCCTATAGTCTAGTATTAACACTTACTGTAATAGTGCTGTGCATACCTTAGAAATATTTGTAATATGCAAGACCTGATTTGAACCACCTTTTTCGAAGTATAAAAGTAACCGAATCTTTGGTGTGGGCCTCATGAGGATACTTCAGAGGTTACTTTTGGTTGTTTCCAATTGTACTACATGACAGCAATTTAGTAGTTTGGAAAGAGGTACTTCTTACATATTCCTGTGTGTTAAAAATACCTCTTGGAGTACTTTACAAAGCCCTAGGATTTAACTTTTGTTGTCATCTTTAAATCTTCTACAGATATTCAGACAAGAAGCTCTAGCAAAATCTTTGACATTTGATATATATTTTACTGACAGATCTATAGTATCCAGGAGATACTATAGATTGTTTCATATTACTTATTTTTGATTTTAAAAAGGCAGATAAATTAACATTGGGTGAAAAAGTGATCACATGCCCTACAGCAGACATGTCAAACTCGCGACGTCACGTGATGTCATGCAACGTATTGGGATGGTTTTGCTATTGCCGGCAATGGGGTGGGCGTGGCTTCTGGATGAAGCGTCTGGCCCGTGGGCCAGCAGTTTGACACCCCTGCCCTACAGCTAACAGGGCATGTGATTACTATGCAGATTAGATTCCTAGGTAAAATTCTAGAAACCTACTGTCAAGTCACTATAAAACTCCAGATGGACCAATGCCTTAATTAGTGTAACATAGGTTCCTATGTTCTTCACCCTATATCACAGCATCAAAGGTCAAATATTGTGTTAATGCATCATGCTAGGCCATAATGTGATTTGTTTGCCTTAGCATATGGTGTGACC